GCGTGGCGGGGTGCTGCCTAGGTGTAACGGCGGAGGTCGTGGTCACCCCTGAGGGCCGCTGGCCCCGCCGCCCTGTGTCACGGCTTAGTCTGGGACAGGAATGGGAGCGGTTAAATAAATAAAAACGCGGTTGGCTCTGCAGGAGAAAACGTATCAGAATTAAAAATAAATGTGTGGGAAACGAGGGTGTCAGATGTGTATCTGCTGCTCGGGATCTTTTAAAAAAATTCAAGGAAAATGGTGTTACTGGAGCAAGAGAAATTGAGCATTTTGGCTGCATCTTAAGAAAATAATTGTTCTGTCTTTCTCACTTGTGAGCGAATTATGAAACGCAAGAAGAAAGCAGCGGCAGATACCTCTGTGGTCAGATGGGGTCCAGCTTTTCTTGTGCGGCTTTGAAAACACAACTCTGGAAGAAAACCGGTGTCTTCTGATAGATGCACATTCGTGTGTCAGTGTGTATGTACAGAAAGCTGGAGACACTACCTCGTGTAGGCTTGCAATCTCTACCTCAGAGAATCTGCTGTCTCTCGTTATAATGGCTAAATTAATTCTCTGAATCTGGTAAAAGAAGTGACATAGTTTTATAAGGGTGTTTTTTTTGTAGTGAATTTGCTTTTTCCTTTTTTTTTTTTTTTTTCCCAAAAGCTTAATTTTTTAAATGCAGTGCTGTTTTATAACCAGGAGATCTTTCAACTTTGAAAAAAATCTCCATATGTGTTTGAATTTTCCCTACTGATTTATTGTCACATACAAACTGTATGGATTAGGCTGCCTGGTATAAATAATGAGTTATTTTAAATTTATTTCTAAAGTACATTCTCACCATGCTGATACTGTCAAGACGATACCTGAGATTACTGTAGAGACTGGCTGTGTTATGTACTGGCTGGCTTTCAAACTCACTGTTCATGCAGGGGCTTGGGAGAGACTTACGTGGCCCAGGGCATGAGGAGGGCTAGCAAGGGGAGTGATGGCGAGGGTAGTGGTGGTGTTTTGACCACAGCAACAAGGAGCGAGCGTGCAGGGAGGGAACGCAGAGCAGTGGGAGCAGGCTGGTGTGGGGGCATTATGGGGAAAGTAGGACAGGGCCTGGAGGTGTGGTGCACCCCGACCCCTTCCCCCGTGTACCTTGGTGGAGAAAGCCTAGATGTTGTAATTGTACGTGTTGACCACGCAGGATAAAGCACAGCAACAGCTAAAGCAAGAGCTGCCCTGTCGAGGCTGAGGTGCCTGCCTGCCCTTGCACGCTGGTAGGAGCTGCAGAGTGGGGTTATAGCCACAAGGACTGTGGTGCTGAGGAAGACAACTTTAGGGTTTAGAGGACCGGGGGCTTGTCAGCCACGTTATGCTGCATTCAGGACTCTTTCCTGACTGATTTTTTCTGTCAGCTTGCCTGTTTCCTACAGCTTCTGTCTTGTTCCCCATTTTGCTCTGTTTCCCCTGAAGATCAGGTGGTTTTGACCTCAGATTTCCAGTTTGACATGTTTCTGGTACCTTCCTGTAGTAGTGCTTCCCCTTCCTGAAGTTACTGCAGCTTCTTGGAAACACATTTTCTCCTTAGTATTTTCTTATTCCAAAAAACAAGCTTTTCTCCTTACAGTTCCTGCAAATACCTGAGTTCAACCATGATACTAATAACAGTCCTCACAAATTCAGCGGCCAGCTGGTGAGGTGCTACTGATACTGAAAAGATTTCCCATTTCCATGTGTTAATGCTTCATTCTCTCTTTACTGTACTCACACTGCTCATCTTCACCCCCATTTCTCTCAAGCACGCTGTAAATACATACGCCTCACATTTACTTAGTGAAGAGTGTTTGTATGTTTTATTCTGTGGCTGTTAAAATACATCTGAGAAAATATCAAAACCTATCTGAAGGCATTATTTAGTGCTGTGCTGTGTAAGCAGAGAGGAAGGGAATACCCTGGAGGGCAGAGATTTCTCTCTTTGGATGAAGTTAATGTCATTAGAAGGCATGCAGCCAGCCAGTATCACAAGGAAAAAAGTGAGCTGGTGTAGGCATGATCAGATGAAACATGGAAGCCTTGAAGTTGCATTCAAAACCTTTAGCCACCCCAGAGTGCCAGGAAAGGGATAGCCACATAGTGCTGATAAACTGAACTTGAGTCTCTTTCCTGGAAGACACATACCAAGTGTTATGGTGAATTGTGCCTGCTGAGTACAAAAATAAAAGGGATTTTCTATTATCAACTGTAAATGTATTGCCCTTTAGAGTTGCTAGGTTCCCCTTGTTCTAAATTGGTGACTCACCCTGCATTCCCCCTGCGTTAACAGCCTAGCACAGTTGGCATAGGCCCCAGTACATGGAATGAGAAGAGGCCCCCTGCCCGGTCAGCTGCCAGTGCTTGCCCTGCCTTCTTCTCATCTTCAGTCCCTCTGACTCAGCCTTCCAGCTTGGGGTTGCAGGTACACAGTCCACAGCTATAGCCTTTGTGGGTTTTCACTGGTGGCAACAGCTAGTCCATGCTGTGCAGCTGTAACCAGCACATGCTCCACCAAATCTTTTTGTTCAGCTCCTGAAGGTGGCTAACCAGGGTCACCCTTCAGTGGGTCACACAGCTGGGGCTGTAGCAAACACGTTTGGTTAAGGGCCTGCATGTCATGGGAGGATGAGGGAGTGTGAGGAAAGTCAAACAGAGGTACTGTACCATTCCAGGTTGCAACAAGCAGTTTTGTGATGTAGGGTGGTAGGAAAGTGATGCTCTATTTCACTTTTCACCTGTGTCCTGTCAGTAGTAGTGTCCTTGTACCTTAATGTCTGCAAGAACTGAGGTAAAAGGCTCTATCGTTTAGAATACAGTTCCACTACAGATTACATGTAAGGGTTCCATTAGACCAATGAACAGGATGTGGTGTCTCATTTTTGCTGCAAATTTTGGATTGGTTTAAGTGAGAAGCTGCTATGTGTGAGTTTCGGTGGCAGATCAGAAGCTGATGATCGTACTCTGAATATGGAAAGTCGTAGAAAAACCTGAGAGAGGTCACAGCGTATTGCTATTAGTGCTGTAGAAGTTTGAGATGATGAAAGAGTTTTCCAGTTGTCTGCTTTATAATACCATGTTGGTTTTATTTTCCATGGTCTTCCATGCAAATCTTGCCCTCTGTCCCTGGACTCGTGTGACTGATATATTTGCTTCTATGTTGAGTGTGACGCTCTGTCATCTTTAGGATACTATAGTAAAAGATAGGAAGGTACAGCCCCATGCTGTCCAAGATACAACCTGCTTGCCTCATATTCTTTCAAGTTTTAATTGACTGAGTCATGTGAGAGATTAATGGGAAAACTAATAAAAAAAAAAGCATTAAGTGACTCCATGATAATCAACTGAGTTGTCTGAAAATGCACAGCTGCAAAGGGTAATATTGCATAACAGTGTTCTTCTAAAGTACTTTTTGGGGTCACTATTCTCTGAGATGTTACAGTTTGCTGAGGATCATGGTCTTTCTGCTATTGCTACTAAAAGCACTGACAAAATAGAACGTGGCATAGGGGCACAGTATTAGGAAACAGTACATGCCTGTGATCTCGTAGCCATGCAAGTTTTTGAATTCCAAAGATAATCTTTCCAGGCTATGAAACTGTCCAAGACTTTCAGAAGGATATTATTGGAATGTTAATTGCAAGTCAGTACATGGACATTATTTGCTCACTGTTTTAGCACAGATTGTGAGGAGTCTGTAAATCTGAGTGTTCATTACTTAAACTTAATTAAATGTCAGTTCACTGTTTGGTTCAGAGACAAAACGAACAGATTCTGGGCCAGGAGAGGCTGAGGCTGTGCATTCTTGCCACCAAAATGCAGAGGGCAGAGGAAGATGGGTGGCATGTGTACACTTCTAAGGTCTGCACTGTCCTTGGGGAGTTTCATAAAAGCACTGAAGACCTTCACATAAGATGAAGCTCTTTGCACTAGTGACTACAAATGAAGAGCCTGTGTATTGTTTATGTAATTTCACTTTCAACGTCTTTTGTTTAGAATACTAAATATTGTAGTATTCCTACAGTGTAGAAATATTATTTATCATACTAATTTCTAAGTAGTATAGAAATAATAGCCTTGTGACAAATGCTGAAGGCAAATCAAATGACTCCTGTTGATATTCATACTGAGCTTCCAGAAAAAATGGGAAAGCTGGTTCGTGCAAAGTCTGTTGAACAGGAAGAGGGTAAAAACATTGTGAAGAGATAGTGCCAGGTAATTTACACATTCTCAGTAAGTATTCTACTTCCTTAAAAACAAAAGTTTTTGTGTTCATGAAGGCAAAAATCTAAACCTCACTCCTTAGGGTTTAGAAGTACAGAGAACATGTGCTCATGGTAAGCCTGTAAGCAAGTATAATTACTTTTATCCTTGAGTACCTCAAGATAGATTCAATGTTGTTGTTTTCAAGCATTTTACAAAATGTAATTCCTGTCATCTTCCTTTTACTTACCCATACACAATACTGTTCTAAGAGCTGGCACCCGTTTCTGACAGCTGTATTTGGAAGATTGAGTCATTGCTTTAGCTTTCTACAGGCTTCATAGTTTAAAAAAGGCAGAGACAATATTTGAAACAAACATTTTCAGTATTTATTTTCATCATGCTTCTCTTTCCGTAATAAAGGTACATGGATAGACTGTTACATAGACTGGAAGAGAGTTTGTTAAAGTTTATTTCCCAATGTTTTGTGTTTTTTCTAATGCTTCAGTACAATTGGCAGTAGTGATTAAATGACAGCATAAATACAACAGTCTTGCAAGACATGGCATGTTGTCCAAAAGCTGCTTCATGGACTGAAAAGAAGCCATAAAAGGACACATTCAAATTCAGAACAATTTGAAAAAAAATCTCTATTGCTCTTTCAAATTATTTACATGGCACTAGTTTAAACAAAACAGTAAATGTAGCTAATGGAAAGATTTCTTTCTTGAGCTTGATTCTAAAAGTGTGCAAGGCACGTGCTAGAACCCCTAGTGATTTCAGTGCCTCTCCTGATGGATGGAGTTTTACCCTACACATTTTCTGAGGTAAAAGTGTGTCTGTCAATTGTCAGCCCACAACAACTGGAAACACTCCTGCTTATAAGAAAAAAAAGAAAAAAAAAAAGTAATCTTTGTTCCATGGTGTAGGAATTACATTTCTGTGGTAACAAGTAGTGTTGTATAGAAAGTATTTTTGAATTAGTTTAGTATTCAAAACAGTTGAGTAAATAAAATGTAATATAACATTTGGAGACCTAAAGGAGTTGTGAAAGATGGGAAGAACATTACATAAATGTGAAGAAGTCTGATCAGTAAAAGAGATACCGGTTTTGTTCTGTAATAAGTGAAATAACATTTAATCAACTGCTTCACTTGGCTTGGAGCTAGGAGTGAAAGAAATATACCTTTATTTTTGCTCTTAAAGTCTGTAAATTATGTTGAATCAAGAGATTTACGAATACATGTGCTGTAAATTACTGCTTAGTTTAACCTTCAAGGAGAAGCAAGAGTGGAATGGCATGATAAACAAAGTCAGTGATACAGAGCCTCACAAGTAAATGCACAAGTGCAACATTGTGCACAGTGCACAAGTGCAACATTTGATCTGTTCTTCAAGGAAAACTGTATTCACGGGTATGCTTTTGTTCTGCATATATAATCAAAAGTATTTATGTTAGAGTTGACATCAGGTTCTGTAACAAGGAGGATGGTATTGCTCTTAATCATTCAATTGTAGGTTAATGAAACCAGATTGTTAGGCTTAAGTAGGAAATAACATTGTTTAGTACCATGGAAGTGAGCAGAAATGAGGTTCAGATGTGTGGTGTATGTGTTAACTGTATATATACCCTCACGAACTGGCCATGTCAGTGGAAGTGCTCCTTTAAAATAATCTCTTGAAACAGAAAATGTGGATTCTGCTGATTTGCATTTTTTCTGCCAGAAAGGATACTTGTCTTCCCTGTAAAATATTTTCATTACAGTAGAAAAATGAGAAATGAAAATTTGTTGTTTATTAACTTTTTATTTTTTCATTTCCTTCAAAATTGTTCCATCCTGGAAGAAGAAAAGGCAGTGAAACAAAATATTTTCCCAGTAGTAGCAGGAGCAAGTCAAATGAACCTTGAAGATTATCTGTGAAAGCTACTTAAAATTTTGATGGCTTTCCTGTTTTCTAGCGACAATCCATAGGCTTCAAAATGATCTGCAAGAAGTGAAAAGAGATCCAGGTAGACAGTCATCCTATCATCAGATCTTGAGATAGAAATCTCAGTTAACATAAAGCATTGTTCTGCACATTTTTTAAAAATTTGAAAGCAGATCTTGTAATTCTCAGTGAAAGAGAAATGCTGAACCATACTTCATGCTTTGTGAGGGTTAGCAAAAAAGTAACTTCTGCGTACTTTAGAAGATCATTTCAATGTAGAAATATTCGTTTTTTAAAATTAAAAAAGTTCACAAAAACAGGCTAAATAAGTCACCTATCAATCCTTTCTTTGCTTTTCTGAAATTATTTGGAACCCCACTTCTAAATAACCAGTAAGGGCCTCACACAAGCTCTGGACTCAGAAGAACAGCTCTTTACAGAAAAGAGGCAGGTCATAACACCTTCTTGCTGTTGCTTTGCCACACACAGTAGAGCTGTCAAGTCTCCCTCAAACTAGAGAAGGAAGTCTGAGGTTGAACTCCCAGTCTGTTTTTAGATGGGGAGTGGGAAGGATTCAGTATTCTGCCTCTCCTGCCCCACCCCTTCCCAAACTACTATTCAATAATGGTGTGGGGATTTTTTTGGTGGTTATTTTTGTTTGTTTTTTAAGTGAGGATATTAAAAAAAACCCCAAACTTTGGCACTATCCTTTTAAGCTCCACATGCAGCTGCCTTACTTCTCATCTGTGACACTAACCTCCCCTTCTTCCCTCCTTTTTTGTGTATTCGCCCATTTCCCAGGAACTGGAACTCTGTCATATTACTTTGTAAATACATTTCTGGTTGGCTCCTAGATTATGTATGCTGAGTTGGAACTAGTATCTGTGTAGGAGATGAGGACAAGGTTCTGAAGTTGGAACCTCACAGTGGAGCTGCACATAATACCAAACACATTGAGTCAGTGTTTAATAACACCATCTGCAAGCTTTTTTTACTTTAAGGTTAGTGGGAGCTTCCCCTGCTCAGCTGTGCCCTGGGAAACATACCCTCTTCATCTGCAATAGCCAAGGAGTCACTAATGGCTGAAGAAAGAGCAATGCTTTCTGTAGGGCAGGACATCCAAGACTGTATTGGTAATAGAGATGTGGCTCAACAGGTCCTGTATGTAGTGATAATTTGTGGTTGTACTGAAAGGCTGCTCCATGAAAGGCAATTTGTTTGCTGTTCTCTTTTATGCTAGTTAAAGCCTCAACCCTGCAAACTTCATCTGTGCAGTCAGCCCTGAACTGTATTGATATTGAGGGGATTTGCTGGTTTGTGGGGATACCTGAAAAGGTTTGATTGCAGGGTCATGGCCCAGTGCTACGTTTGGGAGCTTTGCAAATCACTACTCTGGCTGTGTTCTTGTGTACTATTAGTACACAGGCCACTGGAGTTAAATGTGCCAGGGTACAGTATTTTTTTGTCAGCGCTCCAGACTAGTATGCAACCAACTCATTATTTTGCAGAGAAATATACATTATTCATTATGCATTATAGTATACTAATTTACATTTCTATTCTATACATGTATACCTATATATGTGTGTATTTGCTTATTAATTTTCAAAAGTTTAGTACCACTCAGAGTGCTTTGACTTCTTTTTCCACCTAGATCGGCAGATTGGTTATTGGACAGAATGGTATCTTATCCACACCTGCTGTTTCATGTATCATCCGAAAGATCAAAGCAGCTGGTGGAATTATTCTAACAGCTAGCCACAGTCCTGGGGGACCTGGAGGAGAGTTTGGAGTCAAGTTTGAGGTTGCCAATGGAGGTAGGTTTTTTTAGTGACACATTATTACAACATTGCATCTTGATATGATGAAAATATTCTAACAAGGATAACTAGCTGATTTTAACTATGTGTTTTTCATTTATTCTGTTAAAGCTATGAAGAACATATGCTTCCCCCCCCCCCCCCCCCCCC